GACTACGACTACGACTACGACTACGACTACGACTACGACTACGACTACGACTACTACGACTACGACTACGACTAACTACGACTACGACTACGACTACGACTACGACTACGACTACGACTACGACTACGACTACGACTACGACTACGACTACGACTACGACTACGACTACGACTACGACTACGACTACGACTACGACTACGACTACGACTACGACTACGACTACGACTACGACTACGACTACGACTACGACTACGACTACGACTACGACTACGACTACGACTACGACTACGACTACGACTACGACTACGACTACGACTACGACTACGACTACGACTACGACTACGACTACGACTACTACTACTACTACTACTACTACTACTACTACTACTACTACTACTACTACTACTACTACTACTACTACTACTACCATGTGTGTAATTATGTACATATACATGTCTATAAAACGAATGTGCGCGGCGCTGAAGCGCGTGGCGCCCAGGCGAGAGCCACATTTTGAAGATCACCCGCCCTCCATCTGCGAAACTGCTTGCAATTTTCACGCTTTAGGGTCATAAGTGGCCCTAAAAACTGGCCTCGGGGTGCGACAAAGAGACGTTAACTATAAGGAAATGGAATGTAATGGAAGAGGAGGACGAGGGGGTGGAGGAGGAGGTTGTGAGCCTGGAGGTGCCTGGCCCTGCTGCTGGCCGCCGAGCGGTCCTTGGCGTGCAGCGCGAGCCTGCTGCGGCCCTTGCCCCCCGCCTTCGCCCCGTCCTTCGCCTCGTCGCCCGCGTTCGCATCGTCGTCCGCCTCCGCCTCGTCGTCCGCCTCGCCCTCTGCCTTCGCCGCGTGAAACTGGACGCGCTTGGCCTGGCTGCTGGCGGCCGCGTGGCCCTTCGTGTACAGCGCGAGCTCGTCGTTGCCCGTGCCCTCCGCCTTCGCCTTGCCCGCGTCCTCCGTTGCGTGCTCGCCGCTCTGGCCGGCGACGTCGTGATCGCTGGCGGCCTCGTGCTTCTGGGACGAGTCCACCGTCACGTTCAACTTGCAGCGGATGTCCTTGCTTGAGGAGCCGAAGGCAGAGGAAGAGAAAACGGCGCAGCACAAACTTTCGGAGGTCCGCGCGGACTTCCTAGACCGGCGCTAGGCTTAAGTCGGGCCTGTCCTCCTACAGGGGGATTCTGGACGAAAAATAAAAAAACAATCAGAAAATGTCCCCCAAATGGGCAACAATAGTCAAACAAATCGTCCCCAGACCATTGTTGGACTATCTTTAAAATGTTCCTCCTGTAGAGGGACAGGCCCGACTGAACGGTGGGCCCACCCCTCCCTGGCGCGCCGAGCGCGCCAGGGGGACCGGCGCCGGAGGCGCCGCCAAGGGGACCGGCGCCGATCTGAAAACTCCGCGCCTGGCCGTCGCTCGGACGTCCATTTCCCGTGCATTGTTCGGTTTCGCGCGTTTTTTTTTTTTTTTTTTTTTTTTTTTTTTTTTTTTTTTTTTTTTTTTTTTTTTTTTTTTGTTGGATGGTCCAGGATGGTCCTCGGTGGTCCTCGCCGAGGAAAAATGCACGCGTCCGAGCGATGCCAGGGCGCGGACCCTCGAGAGCTCATGTGGCTGCCGTGTTCTCTCCTCCGAGCTGAGGACGAGGACGTGCTTGTGGGGCACCCAGCCCTCGCCGGGCCGCCAGACCGACAGGTCCCGCTGCGAGAACTCCAGGCTCACCTCGGCCTTCGCCCCCGGCTGCAGCAGGGCGGTCTTCTCGAAGCCCCGCAGCATCTTCGGGAACTGCGCGCCCTCGCCGGGGAAGCGGAGGTAGGCCTGGACGACCTCCCTGCCCGAGACCGCGCCGGTGTTCGAGACGTCCACCCTCACGCAAACCGCCTTGCCGCAGCCGCCCGAGCGGCCGCCCATGACAGCCTTCGGCTCGCCGTACGCAAACGTCGTGTAGGACAGCCCGTGGCCGAAAGGGAACGCCCACTTGAACTTCTGCGAGCGGTACGAGGTCCACATCCC